CATCCACCATCATCTCTGAAATGAAAAGTAATATTGCATCACTATTTGACCCATAAATTTAAGATGAAAATGAATGTACCTCTAAGGATCCAAGACTAGAGCCTAAGTTCTTTGTAACATCCAATATACTTTATTATATATATATATATAATATATATATAATATATATATATATATATAAATATATATATATATATATATATATATATATATATATATGTCGTGCCCGAATATGTGAAGCTGGTCAATTAACAAGAACTCATTTAAAATTAAGTCCTTTCTGAAATTTTCTCTTACAAGTTTAAAGATATTTTTTTTTTCATTAATGTTAATGTAAAAAATTTTAATTTTGCACCAAAAGAATCTTAGAAAACTTACCTAACCTTATTATATCAGGAGCAATTTAATTTAGCCTAACCCAACTAAATATATTTTAGATTTGTTTACAGTAATTTAATACTAAAGAAACACAGTGAAATATATTTTTTTTCGTTAGGTTCAGAATGATTTTGGCGAAATTATTGCATTCACGGCGCGCATAACGGAGATAAAACACCTCAATTACTGGGAGCGCTTGAGGTTTCTAAACCTGTATTCCCTGGAACGCAGGAGGGAGAGATACATGATTATATACACCTGGAAAATCCTAGAGGGAGTAGTACCGAATTTGCACACGAAAATCACTCACTACGAAAGCAAAAGACTTGGCAGACGATGCACCATCCCCCCAATGAAAAGCAGGGGTGTCACTAGCACGTTAAGAGACCATACAATAAGTGTCAGGGGCCCGAGACTGTTCAACTGCCTCCCAGCACACATAAGGGGGATTACCAACAGACCCCTGGCAGTCTTCAAGCTGGCACTGGACAAGCACCTAAAGTCAGTTCCTGATCAGCCGGGCTGTGGCTCGTACGTTGGTTTGCGTGCAGCCAGCAGCAACAGCCTGGTTGATCAGGCGCTGATCCACCAGGAGGCCTGGTCACAGACCGGGCCGCGGGGGCGTTGACCCCCGAAACTCTCTCCAGGTAAACTCCAGGTCCAGGTATAGCAAGATGAGAGTTGCTATTTAAGCCAAGATCGCAAGTTCTGCCTATTCGGCACGACATAAATATATATATAAATATATATATATATATAATATATATATATATATATATATATATATATAATATATATAATATATACATATTATATATAATAATATATATATATGTATATAATGTGTGTGTGTGTGTGTGTGGTGTGTGTGTTGTGGTGTGTGTGTGTGTGTGTGTGTGTGTGTGTGTGTGTGTGTGTGAGTGAGTGAGTGAGTGTGTGTGTGTGTGTGTGTGAGTGTGTGTGTGTGTGTGTGTGTGTGTGTGTGTGTGTGTGTGTGTGTGTGTGTGGTGTGTGTGTGTGTGTGTGTGTGTGTGTGTGTTGTGTGTGTGTGTGTGTGTGTTAGTTACAATTTGGTCCTAGGCCACATGTCGATTCTAGGCCTGTTATATGTGCATGCGTGTGTGTGTGTGTGTGTACTCACCTAGTTGTACTCACCTAGTTGAGGTTGCGGGGGTCGAGTCCGAGCTCCTGGCCCCGCCTCTTCACTGATCGCTACTAGGTCACTCTCCCTGAGCCGTGAGCTTTATCATACCTCTGCTTAAAGCTATGTATGGATCCTGCCTCCACTACATCGCTTCCCAAACTATTCCACTTACTGACTACTCTGTGGCTGAAGAAATACTTCCTAACATGTGTGTGTGTGTATGTGTATTTAAATTTAAACCCTTCACAAGGAGAGCGGTGAAAGCTCAAGATTATCACTGTGGCAACAGTAAAAAAAAATTGTTGTCTGGGAAGGTGACAGAGGTGAACACAGATTTTGCAAAGTGAAGTGCAATCATATTGTATTTAGGGCAAATAGTGAGATATTGTACAATTGCATTAAGATAAAGAGGACGAGTTTTAGACATAATTTTTTAAAACTGGATAGATACTGTGTATTTACTCTGGTATAAGTATTTACAGGGAGGAGGGATTGGGGAGGGTTAAGTTAGGTGAGGTAAGATTAGTCAGGAGACAGGACAGTGACCACTGGAGCTTTCGGTTATATAATGCTGTTGAAGGGTAAATATATTTCCCACACGAGGAGGCATTATAGTTACTTTCATAAGTTTTAGGCCTGTCGAAACAAACTTTCAGTGTATATACATTAAAACATATATGCCTGAGCCACGTACACGCGTCTAGGACAGGGCCAGGAGGTGAGACTCGGCCCCTGCAACTAAATGTAGGTGAGTATATACCCTTTACACCTCGGATTTTCATAGGGAAAATATAAACAATTAAGAAGCGTTTGTGAGGGGAAAGTATAGGAAGTCAAGACGAGGACACGTCTAGTCTAGTATTAGAGTAGGAAGTGTGGGTGTTCTTATACAACTTCCTGTAATAGGCCTTAATGACTTGTGCTGAATGGCAGATGTATAAGTGAATGTGCGTAGAAATATACTATATACACCTGTTTTATGGATTACATTTCGATCTGTGCAGAGCTTTATCAAGTTATCAATTACCAAGTTATCGATCGGCACCAAGTTTGTTTCCACCACCACGCCGTCTCAGTGGCTGTTCTCAGAGGTCATAGAAACTACAGGCTGACATAGTGCAGCTTTCACCTCACCTTGATCACTGCTGGTTGTGTCTCACGTAGCCATCAAGGCCACCATCTGTGCATGATATAAAACCTTGATGCATATTTAGTTTTCATGGCGTGCACTGGCTAGCCATCAGAAGAATTAGAAA